CCCCTGATTTCACAGGAAAAAATCAAGTATGGAAATAATGGCCACCTCCAAGAATTATGGAAAAAAAAAGGTTCGGATCACTTCCGGGATATTTTGAACCCTTATGGGGAAAAATCCAATTATGGAAAAATCGGACGCAGGCGCCGCCTGTCTAAGTTGAACGTTTTATTTTTTCCATAATTCTGTCGGTTACGATAGTAATTATTGAAGTCATTTACTACTTACATAATTTTAATGATAATATTATTAGAGTTATGGGTTTGTAAGATAGGATTATTAAAGACTAAGGAAGTATTTGTATTGTTGTGTATTGTTTTGTTTTTTATGTTGCGCTTTGCTTGGTTTGTTTTTTGTTTGTTGTTTGGTTGTTTTGTTTTGGGTATGGAATGGATGAGGTGATGATGTATTGACTGTGACGATTTCTATAAAATGGATGAGGTGTAGAGATTGTAGGTTGTTTTGATTTATGAAAATGAATGAGATGATGATATGGTTAGTAGTGATGATTTTGTGGAATGAATGAGGTAATTGTGGTTAGTTGTTATGTACTTTTTTTGCAAATAATTATTGAGTTGTTATACTGCTATAATTTGAATTTATAAAACTTCTTTGAACTAGTGTTTTTAACATTTTTTTTGGGGGGGGGTCCCCCCTACACTAATCTGTATCCCACATTAATTTAAATCTATTTTACATGCAAGCTAGTCAGAAACTGTGATGGCTCAAGGTGTTCCACTCATCATGCATCTTCCCCCCAATCTCAATGATAGTCCAACATTCGCGACCCAAAAATGTGGCACCCCCGGGCCTCGGGATGCCAGCATGAAGGCCACCTGGGTGGAGAACAGGCGCAGCATGGCGCAGCAACGGCAGCTCGGGGCAACAACACATCGCTCTTGAGCATGCCGTACCGAGGCTGTGACATACAAGAAACCCCAGAGGCTCACACCTCACAATAGCAAGGAGACGTCAATGTGAGATATATCAAAGATGTGGCATGGTGGCGAATGGAAGGCCATCTCATTGGTCGGTGTTTTGCACATGATTCATCAAAAAACGGGTTGATCATTCTGCCCTGCTACCCCAATGATCCCAAATCAACAATGATGACAGAACACCATCATGCCAGATTGGGCCTCGCAAAGCCAGAGTGATGGGAGGCAGCAAGCAAAGGCTGGGCGTCGCCAGAATGCATTTGCATGACCTGAGGGAAGACAAAAGTAAGATCCAGTGCTTCCGACAAACCCTACAAGGTGGTGCCACCCAATTATAGGATGTTATAAGTTGGTTTATAACATCCATGAAGTACAGATGTAAACAGTAAGTATGTATATAATATATATATATATATATATACACAATCATATGCGTGTATAGCATCTACCAGAAACCCTCAGAAACCCTTGTCTTGCCAACACCATGGCTGGCATCCAGCACCAGAAACCCTGAGGCTCCAGGCCAAGAGATACACTTCACAGCCTGGTCGGATGCCCAAGGGATGCCAAGGGGGTGAAGCCAAGCCACTTCTAAGCTCCGCACGGTCTCCATCCATGCACTCATCTGACAACCCATCCACAGGAAAACAAACCTAAGTACTGGCAAAATACTGAACGACTCTCCATCTCTCTCCCTCTCTCCCTCGCTCGCTCGCTTGCTCTGTCCCTCTCTTTTTCTGTTTAAACTCTCTTAGATTTGTCATGTGTGGTTTCCTCTCCGGTACCATCCAACAGCAGTCCTGTACCCGCAACAACTTTTGGGAAATGTGTCAAGAATTGTGGGGACCAAACCGCGCCAACATGTTTCTACTAAGCCAATGACCCCACTACCATCATCGCCCAGGCAGCTACTTGATCCTGGCGTTGCCAGCATTTTTGCTGGGCTCATTGGCACCACTTATTCACCACCAACTGGGCATGAGCAAAAACATGGCCGTTGTCAACTCACTGCAGCATCACCATTCTCTGCGGTTGTATGTCTGTTCATTGTGTTTCAGGAACCTGTCAACGTTCTGGGAACACTCCCTTTTACATCCTCTTACCCTTTTCTTTACACGGTTGATACCTCTGTCGCTTCTGTTTCTTCTTCCAATTCTTCTCCGTTTTTCGTGCCGTTGCTGTGGAGAGTGTCGCCTTGCTGTGGATGGTGTGAGAAAAATACAGTAGGTGTCATGCGAAAACACCCTGCCTGCCCTGAGGCCCCTTCACTGGTGCCGCAGAGATCTGTCCTGGGGATTGCGGCATAAATTTTGCACAACTCCTTGAATCCTACCCTCTACAGTGGTGAAAAGCCATGAGAAGAGACAAAGTCCCACTCCAAAAATACAAATTATAAATTTAAATATATATATATATATATTTATACATATATCTGTGTATGTGCTTATATACGTATAATACAAGTGCGTGTCTTTGTGCTATATCAAGGTGTTCTTTGTTGAGGCTGCCCTTCACTCCCAATCCTCTGCGCATCGTTCCGCGAGCACCTGAGGAACTGACAGCTCCATTCAGAAACCGTGGAAGGATACTGAATGATACGGTAGTGTATGCACAGAATACAGTCCTAATCAAGTTATAATTCATGTTAGTTAATTACTGTTAGTTAATGTTAACTGTTGATAACTATAGCTGATACTGTATATTTAAAAAAAATGATGTCACTTATTTACTTACCAGTACTTGCTAATTTGCTAGTTATATAATTAGTATAAGCAGCCGGAGCTTTGCTTGGGCCTTATCACCTTGGGAGATCATGCAGTGCGATCGTCCTGAGGCTTCTACCAAAATAAATACGCTGAGGTGGCGAACGATGCCGTCTGGCACAAATGGCACTTCAGTTTTTCGGACTTCACACAGTGCCGGAGACTGTTTGGTGCAAAATTGTGGCAGAGAATGTCCTTCCAGAATCTTCCACACACAATCATCTGACTGCACACACTCCCTTTTCTATCCTTTTCTTTGGTAGAGTCATGTATTCACCATTTTGACCCACGATGCTGGGCTCAAGTAAAATCCATGGACCCCCTCTCTAGCCCGAGAAAGATGCTTGGTTCCCCCATGTTCTCCCAAAGCATGCTACGATGACAATGACAATGAGCACGCCAGCCCTTAGTACCGATCAGGACAGACCAGTTACACTAGGTGATGATGCCTTGTGCCACAGGATGCCACAGGCCACGGCTTTCTTGGATGCTTTTCTTGCCGAAAATCCGACTTGCAAAGCAACAAGACAAAGAAGTGACCTGGGGGACCTAGCATGACCTAGCTACAGCATCAAAGTTTGCAGGCTGATGGCAGCAGGTGTCAAGGTTTTCTGGAAAACCTTCACGAAGCCTAAAAAATCCAATGCCCAAAACCCGCAGCAACTCCAGCAACCTTTTCGGACGCGCTATTTTCAGAGCTCCAACTTTGGGTTGCCATCTGCGATGTTTTGCTCTGGCAAGATGCTCTGAGCAGAATAAATAACACGGCCATTGCCTGCGATGCGGATACCAGCACCTTACTGCAACGAACTAAGCCTAAGGATGTTGGGGAAGAACTGATTCGCAAACGTCCTGGCTGTGTTTGTTGGGGTTTCAAGATTGAAATTGGATGAAATTGGATCCTTTGATGCCAATTTCCCAGGCCGCACTCCGCAACTTCCCTGTCCTTCCATCCAGGGCGTGGAATACTCCATGGCTCTGCTTTAGTTGGAACGTTCGCCAAGATATGACAAGATATCCTTAGCTGCAAAGGGGATCAAAATGGATCAACGACTCCGAATCTTAGAAGCTACAAAGCGTAGTGTACAAGTAGCTCTGTTGAAGGTATTTTCACACATTTTCACACAGTTCAATCAGAGTTGCAGGGCCATACTGCCAAAGAGACCCAAAGAGACCCCTGCAAACAGCCGAAAAAACACTTGAGATGGCACCAGGTGGTCCGAACCAGGTCCGAACCAGGTCCCACCACTGGGACTGGGCACGCCACAGTGATCGATCATCCGAGCATTTCTCATTTGGAGACGGCAAAAGACATGTCTAAAAAAGGCGTCAGAATGTGTGGAAAAACATGAATGAACACTGGCACTGGATCACACTGGATAAAAAAATCCAGGACTCCTGCGAAACAAAAATCAAGAGTTGTTTTTGGAATGACCCGAACCTTTTGCGCGAACATGTGCCCTTCTGCCGCTGCACAGTCTTTTTCATCAGCGGTCTACCACTATCACTGGCCTTTGGCCGAGGATGTGGCAAGTGCTGTCGCTATCTGTTTCTGCTGCTGCCTAAAGCTTTCACTACTTTACCGAGTTCAGGCTTTATGTGCCCAAGAATCCTGCGGCTTCTTCTTCAGAACATCCTGCCATGGGATGTCCAGTGACACTTTCAACCATGCTTTCTGCAGATGTTTGTGCTTTTTGTTCCCCTTTACTTCCTCTCTCTTTCCCTCCATCCCCCAATCTTTGATTTGGGAATTTTGCATGTCTCAGCTCGTTATACATAATATATATATATATACCATTAGTGACGAGACTGCAAAAACGAAATGGGAATCGCGGATCAACACCATCATAACTGCCATGCATCTCACTTCTGAGGCATCAAGGTTTCCATGCTACCCACATGATGATCGTGATGGTCCTTTTGTTTTACACGATCTCTGGACAATTTCTGCACGTCTGCGCTAGAAGAGTCTCGCATCATGGCCTGCCAGTGGACACGAAAAGCGAACGCCATCATTTTGGTGTTCATGTCCTTCCTCAGATCTAAGACCACCCGGTCTTAAGTCTGAACAGTCTCGTTGATAATGATGAGCCACTTATAAATAGATCATCTATGACAATGGGTTATAATGGGCACCTATAATAAATCATAATAAAGCATCATTGGTACTTAGATTGGAGCTTTCTTAAGTCATAGGGCTACCCCAAGAATCATCCAAAATCATCCAAGTCATTAGACCATGACTTACATCACTTGATTTGTTTCAAGGCTACGGTGACTTGGAGATCCCACCGCCCCCCACCTTGAACTCTTCAAAATCCAGCGTGCCATCTCCGTCCTGATCGGAGGCCAACACCTAAGCAGGACACCTCGGCAACTACCAACAATCATTAAGGGGTTAACTAAGGTTCTGCCAAAACACCTGGTTTCGAACATCACTGGTTTTAGGGCTTGAGAATTCGGAAATTAGGGGGTTTTGCGTTTAGGGTTTTTCCTTGATAGTTTTTATCTAATTATATAGATGTTTTTAGGGTTTAGGCTGCAGGGGTTTAGGATTTAGATGGGTTGAGGGTTTGCGGCTTTAGGATGTTAGGGTTCAGATGACTTGTGCAATGACGCACAGGTCCCCTACCTGAGCTTTTCAGGAATGCAAGAATGACCCATAATTTACAGTGTTTTGAGAATGCCTCGGGCAAAACAAGGTGTTTGTCTGAAAGGTTACCCTTAGATGTTATCAACCAATATTGACCAGCTATCATTGAAGGATGATGAAAGTCAGGTCAGCATTGAACCAGCATCCGGCCTCTTCAATCGCAGGAAAGAGATTGAAATCCAAATCCTGGAAGCAGCGACATTCCACCCACGTGCCCGGAAGAATTCATGATTTGATACCAGTACATGGGTCAAAGACATGTGGCTAACCCAATCAAAACCTAGGGGGAAAAAACAGGAGGACAAATAGAAGCTACAGTCTATTTAAAAGTTTCCATATCTTTCCTTTCACCACTTCCCAACTTTCATGCTCAGACACGCCTTAAAGGATTCAGATTTCAGTGCTTCTTGAAGCTCGGTGCGGTTGATGTGGCCGTCACCATTGCGGTCAAAGGTCCTGATGGCCGTGGCAGGTCGTGGCCAATGGATCCAGGTCTCTATTCCCATTGCTGCAGCAAAGGCTCCTGAAGACCGCCTGGGACAAAACGTGCATGTCAGAGCACAAACATAAGACTGCTACAAAACACAACCAACGGTTAAGTTTGGGTTGTGGTCAGCTAAAAACAAGAATTACATGTATAACGTGTATAATAATGAGAAGGAAAAGTATACTATTTTTCAAGCCGCAAAAAACACCACCTTGTGATCATGTTTCATGTCATGCACATTGTTGGCAAAACTGCCGTGAAAGATCATCTGCAGTTTTTCCGAGGTACTAGGCAAGTGCTGTCAGTCGTGTAGTGCTTTCTGTCCTTACGTGGCACTGGCGGTTCCCCCATGTCCGTCCTTCGCAAGCCACGCACACTGGAAAGTAAAAAGGGGGCATCACCAGCTAAATTTTTGGAGGACAATTTCAGTGGCAATGCTGGCTGATGCTGGCTGTGCTAGGGGATGGACAGTCATTGCAGCAATAAACTCTGGATATGAGATGGTCGCACTGCCATCAACGTCCAGCAGGTCCATCAGCCTGCACAGCACCAGCAGCGAGCAGTTTCCGGCACACGATGGCGCATAACAGTGGATGCAGAGTGTACCGATACGGACCAAAATAGAATGAACATGAGCGCCTACTCTGCCCAACATAAAGCTAACAAATATGCCAGCATTGAGCAGCACATCCCAAATTTCCTGCACAAGTGAAATGGCCCCTCCTCTCGATGTCTTCAGGAATGGCTGCTCTTGCTCGGTAGCCTCCACTTGTCATCCTTGCAGAACTGCATGGCCAAAGTCACACAACTGAAACAAGGTTTCTCAAATCATGATGCTAGGATGTTCGAACGTTGATGTGACTTGATGGATAATATTGTTTCAAAACAATCCAAAATAGTGATACAGTAGATGAGGTGACTCTCCCACCCATACAGTATATGGTGACAATCCTCGCTTAGCGTTGTAGTTCTAGTTGGTCAAGTTTCACCCTTGATCAGCCCATGCAAAGAGACCCCATCAGTGTATAAATCCAAATCACCGAAGATCATCTAAGCAATTGTGCACTATATGTTTGCAATATATCCGCCATTAAGCCTAGTTCCAGATATATTCATAGTTCATACCGATATGTCAGGATATATCTATATATATGTCCAACCAACTTGCCTATCGTTGGGGGCCCAACTGCCCCCATCACCGCTCCAAGGGTCAACTCCATCATGGCTTTTTTGAGCTCTGCCAGGGACACCTCTCGGCGGAGCGCGGAGCTTGACATTGTCTTGATAATGTTATATAAGTATGTTGACATTAACAACAGTAGTGCCCGCACGAGGCGGGGCGGAAGTTGCCTTAGGGTTGTGCTATAAGACCTTTTTCATCTATAGAACTTGCATGCGCCGTGCGCCGGCCAGGCCCCTGCGTGCGTGCTTTGTGCCAACCTGCTGCGCCGCTGTTGTCCAAGAGCATGACCTGCGCGCGACCCGGCGCAATGCAACGCCAAGCGAACACTTTCATCACACTTCGCACTGCACTCTTCACACCCCGCACTCCACACTTCACACTTGCACTTCACACTCCACACTTCAGACAACTCATCTCATCTGAGTTCTTCTCATCTCATTTCATGCCTTCTCATATGTCAGCTAAGTTCTTCTTAACTATTTTCCTTTCATCTGAGCACAGCTCAACCTTTCTCATCTCACCGAAGCTTGTCTCAACTCATCTCGGCTCTTCTGCACTCTGCACGTCAGAAAGCTTGAGACACAGGTGCATTTACACAGACGAGTCTTTACAAAATACTTTCTACTACAAAGCTTGCACAAAGCACGTCCCAGTACTACTTTGTACTACAAAGCGTGCACGAAGCACAGGCTTCCTCCCCACAACCAACCCCCCGGTAACACTCATGCAGCCACTACAATGCGTTTCACAACGACAGCTTCCAAAACACCACGTAACTGGAATGTGCAGGAACATGCGAAACACATCGAAGCAGCCATTACACTGCGGACTACTCCAAGACTTGGCCGAACCTAGCCCGCACCCGCCGCACACACGAGGTACCTTTCATCCCCGGCTGCAGCCACTTTACACGGAAAAACACACGGTTTCGTGCTCCGGCTTCCTCCCCACAACAAACCACATGCAACACTCATGCAGCCATTACAATGCGTTTCGCAACCACGGCTTCCAAAACACAATGTAACTGCAATGTGCAAGAACACGCAAAACACATCGAAGCAGCCATTACACTGCGGACTACTCCAAGACTTGGCCGAACCTAGCCCGCACCCGCCGCACACACGAGGTACCTTTCATTGCCGGCTGCAGCCACTTTACACGGAAAAACACACGGTTTCGTGCTCCGGCTTCCTCCCCACATCAAACCACATGCAACACTCATGCAGCCATTACAATGCGTTTCGCAACCACGGCTTCCAAAACACAATGTAACTGCAATGTGCAAGAACACGCGAAACACATCGAAGCAGCCATTACACTGCGGACTACTCCAAGACTTGGCCGAACCTAGCCCGCACCCGCCGCACACACGAGGTACCTTTCATTGCCGGCTGCAGCCACTTTACACGGAAAAACACACGGTTTCGTGCTCCGGCTTCCTCCCCACAACAAACCACATGCAACACTCATGCAGCCATTACAATGCGTTTCGCAACCACGGCTTCCAAAACACAATGTAACTGCAATGTGCAAGAACACGCGAAACACATCGAAGCAGCCATTATACTGCGGACTACTCCAAGACTTGGCCGAACCCAGCCCGCACCCGCCGCACACACGAGGTACCTTTCATTGCCGGCTGCAGCCACTTTACACGGAAAAACGCACGGTTTCGTGCTCCGGCTTCCTCCCCACAACAAACCACATGCAACACTCATGCAGCCATTACAATGCGTTTCGCAACCACAGCTTCCAAAAACGCGCGATTCAAAAAGCGCATAGAACCACGCACACATGAACAACCACACGTTGCAGAATTTTAAGGGAGAACCAATCACACATCAAAACGAACGGTCCGCACCCGCCCGCACACAGGAGGTAGCTTTCATCGCCGGCTGCAGCTTTACACGGAAAAACACAAGGTTTCGTGCCCCGGCTTCCTCCCCAACACAAGTCCCACGCAAGATTCATGCAGCCATCACAATGCGATTTGCAACCTGCGATTCAACAAGCGCAACGAATTACGCACACATGAACAACCACACGTTGCAGAACTCCAAGGGAGAACCAATCACACATAGAAACGGTCGGTCCGCACCCGCCGCACACAGGAGGTACCTTTCATTGCCGCCTGCAGCCACTTTACACGGAAAAACGCAAGGTTTCGTGCTCCGGCTTCCTCCGCAAAACACACCCCATGCAACATGAATGCAGCCATTACAATGCGTTTTGCAGCATCACGTGTCTAACCCGCATGTCTCTGCGCACATGGCAACAAAACGCGACAGCACTTCCCAGGTCTCCACTTCCCTTCGTCACCACTTCCCTAAGTCACCACTTCCCTAAGTCACCATCCCTAGATCACCACTACCCTAAGTCACCATTTCCCTAGGTCACCACTTCCCTAGGCCACCACTTCCCTAGGCCACCACTTCCCTAGGTCACCACTACCCCAGGTCGCCACTTCGGTCAACGCGTCATCTGCGCACATTGAAAGCGAGTCATCTGCGCACATTGCAAACGAGTCATCCGCGCACAGCGAAACCGCGTCATCCGCGCACAAAGAGCGGTCATCCGCGCACATTGATGCTGGGAGCCAGCCATTTCGGGCAAGCTAAACCTCTCTCTTTCATGTTCCTCTCTCTTTCATGTTCCAGTGGGGGGGGTGGGGTGGGGTGGGGTGGGGTGGGATGATAACGTTCATGTTCCTATGCACACACAGGCACAGCAACCTCATCATCTTTCTTCCCGTAGAGCAGAGACAGGCACAGCTCTTTCATGATCAGTTACCGGTGGGGTGGGGTGAGTTAATAAGGTTCATGTTCCTATGCTGCACACGCACAGCAACCTCATCATCTTTCTTGCTGTAGAGCACTTACACGCACTGCTCTTTCATGATCAGTTACCCTTGGGGGGGTGGGGGTAGGGGGGGTGGGTGGGGTGGGGTGGGGTGGGCTGGGATGATAACGTTCATGTGAGATGAGTTGTGTAAGATGAGTTGTGTGACTTGTGAGATGAGAGGAGTTGTGTGAGTTGTAAGATGAGCGGAGTGGTGTGAGATGAGTTCTGTGAGTTGTGAGATGAGTGGAGTTGTGTGAGATGAGTTGTGTGAGTTGTGAGATAAGTTGTGTGAAAGAACTTGGGTGAACTTCAGTGAGAGAACACGAAAGCAGCTCCACCAAATGGCACACGAAAGCAGCTCTTGAGTAAGTTGAGTTGTGTAAGATGAGTTGTGAGAGATGACTTGTGTGAGATGAGTTGTGTGACTTGTGAGATGAGACGAGTTGTGTGAGTTGTGAGATGAGTGGAGTGGTGTGAGACGAGTTCTGTGACTTGTGAGATGAGAGGAGTTGTGTGAGATGAGTTGTGTGAGTTGTGAGATAAGTTGTGTGAAAGAACTTGGGTGAACTTCAGTGAGAGAACACGAAAGCAGCTCCACCAAATGGCACACGAAAGCAGCTCTTGAGTAAGTTGAGTTGTGTAAGATGAGTTGTGAGAGATGACTTGTGTGAGATGAGTTGTGTGACTTGTGAGATGAGACGAGTTGTGTGAGTTGTGAGATGAGTGGAGTGGTGTGAGACGAGTTCTGTGACTTGTGAGATGAGAGGAGTTGTCTGGGATGAGTTCTGTGAGTTGTGTGAGACAATTTGGGTGAAGTTGAGAGAGAAAGAAGCAACTCAGGAGGAGAAGGAGGAGAAGGCAAGGAATACAAACCTAAAAACAAAAGCCCCACACAGAGATGTGAGGAAAAAAACATAACTTGATGAGTTGTGTGATGATGTTTAAAAAAAAAGCTAGAAGAAGAATCATGTTACAGAGATACAATGACAAAAACACACAACAAAAACGTGCACAGACGACCAACCGTCTGACGTGCACAAACGACCCACTTTTGACGTGCACAGACGAACCCCGAACCGCCACTTCCCTTGCTCACCACTTCCCTAGGTCACCACTTCCATAGGTCACCACTTCCCTAGGTCAACAAGTCCTCAGATGGATAGTCTCACACCACCCTTCATCAGGTAAAAGTCTCCAGATGTAAAGTCTCACACCACCCTTCAGGTCAGGTAAAAGTCATCACACCACCCTTCATCAGATGCAAAGTCTCACACCACCCTAAAAGTCATCAGATGTAAAGTCTACACCACCCTTCATCAGGTAAAAGTCATCAGATGAAAAGTCTCACACCACCCTTCACCAGGTATAAGTCATCAGATGTAAAGCCTCACACCACCCCTCATCAGGTAAAAGTCATCAGATGTAAAGTCTCACGCCACCCTTCATCAGGTAGAAGTCATCAGATGTAAAGTCTCACACCACCCTTCAGCAGGTAAAAGTCATCAGATGTAAAGTCTCACACCACCCTTCATCAGGTAAAAGTCATCAGATGTAAAGTCTCACACCACCCTCCACCAGGCATAAGTCATCAGATGTAAAGTCTCACACCACCCTTCATCAGGTAAAAGTCATCAGATGTAAAGTCTTACACCACCTTTCATCAGGTAAAAGTCATCAGATGTAAAGTCTCACACCACCCCTCATCAGGTAGAAGTCATCAGATGTAAAGTCTCACACCACCCTTCATCAGGTAAAAGTCATCAGATGTAAAGTCTCACACCACCCTCCATCAGGTAAAAGTCATCAGATGTAAAGTCTCACACCACCCTTCTTCTGGTAAAAGCCACCCGTAACTCGGAAGATTGCTTCCCAACTTCCTTTGATGAGTTGATTAGTTGATTGATAATGTTAACTAATACTAACAAAAACTAATGTCAACTAATATTAATGTTAATGATAATAGGTATAGAAAAATATGTGATAATAGCTAATAGCAATAATAGTTTTGGAATTACAACAATTGATAAGTAAAAATGTCTGATGATGGCAATATACAAGAGCAACAATAACCAGAATACGAAGAATCAAATAGATTGATTAAGTGATAATACAATATTAAACAAACTGGTGATAATACCAATACAAACAATGATCATTGTATAGCATACTTATTATTGGGTATTCATAGATGTCAATTATATGCATGTATTAAATATAATTATATGTGCTACTGATGAGACTGATACTAATAGCAAGTCTGCCCTCCAAAATGCAGAAAGGCGGCGACGCCACTGTGGTCTTTGTCAACCAACTCAAACATCTCCTTAGGCAAAGCGGTGGCCGGGGGCATTACAAGTCCTGACCCAGATATCTGATATTGTGTGTATATTGATGTGCAAATGGGGAAGCACTATATTAATCATAATGTTAATCATGTTTAATCTACATCACCTACAAGTAATATGTATAATAGGGACAGAGAGAGAGGGAGAAAGAAAGAGAGAAATATGAAATATGAATGGTATGTGCGCAATACCCGTACATGTGCATTGCGGCTCTAGCAGCCACATGTAGAACTTGCACTTCTAGAAGTTGCGAACATTCCGTATCATGTAACCGTGGATTACTCTGCAGCTGACATATCCATGTCTATATCCAGTAAGATACTTGCATTGAATTTTCATCATAATTACTGCCATTTATAGCCACAACCATCAACCCTCTGAACTACCCAACCAAGGTTTACTCAGCCATGTCCACATTCCTTTCGCGTTGGGTTTTCTATAGTTTTTTGAATATGATTCTATGATTCTAATCTTTGTTCCCACTTTGCCATGTCATGTTGCCGAGCATCTTTCATCTTGAGCACTTCTGGGGCGCTCAAATGTGCTGCTGAAATGTGAATCGCCAATTTCTTCAGCTTGTTGGATTTGCAGAACCGTTGCCTCGCGGTTTTTCAACCGGATGATGGATGAAATGACCGGTTGAATCACTGGAATCCACTGGAAAGTTTCGCCCTTTCCATAGCTGCAACCAACCAACAGCATGCGAATCTTAACCCTAAACCCAACTCTGTTCTGCCAATTCAGCTCAACTTTCAGGTCTCCACTCTTGGTCATATTTCAAGCGGAAAACAGTTACACCACATTTCTCTTGCCCAAGTCTTGCAGTCATGACACATATTCTCCAAATTTTGCGCAGAAATTGCCTCGTGAAACAAAGCGATTGTTTGCTCAGCACAAACGGCCAGGGCCAGGGACTCATAACATCTAATTCATCTAATCCAACAATGGAAATGTGGAAATGTTTGGTAAGATTTCCATCTCCAATCCTTCGTTGGGTTTCACCTCTTTTCACCCAAACACAGCATTTTCGGATCCTGGTCCCACTGGTGTCCGCCTTGCCACGGGAGACGTCTTCCATGGTGCTGAACCAGCAATCCGCCAAGCACTCGGCCACTGTGGGACGATGCGCATCCGCAGAGGTCATCCTGCCGTCATTTACATCTTTTTTAATATAGGATAATATAGGATAATATAGGATAATATATGATATTATATGGGTAACTGATGGTAACTATAAATGATAATATAGGATAATATAGGATAATATGACAATATATGATAATATATGATAATATATGATAATATATGATAATATATGATAATATATGATAATATATGATAATATAGGTAACGAATGGTAACTATACACTTTGAAGATCTTTGAAGTACATAGACATGGGGTTGCAAAAAACATACATGGGGTTGCAAAAAACATCTGCCAAAGTCAGATTTTTTGATCCATGAATCCATGCCTTTATTACAATATTTTTTTATGGTGTCAACGTCCTGAGGATCAGGGACTTTTCTGCACTCATGTTCTTCTTCCAGTTGACCGCATCAGGATTGGGATCTCCAAACAACAGAGCACAAAGGATAGCTCCGCCTCACAAGCACCCGACAAGCGGCAAGTGTCCAAGTGTGTCAGGTTGCGTTTTTTGAGCGGTGCTTCTTCCAAAAATAAATATAATTATAAATATACATATGATACATATGATACATGTATTAAAGAAATATATTTTGTTGCATGATAATATTTAAAATATATTATTGCAATATATTGTAATAAATAAATCACAATGACAAAACTGGCAAAGTGGCTATATTATGTTATTATGCTGACATTTTCATACATTTTCCATGGTTACATCCACAAACAACGTTAAAATATGGCCCAGGGACACGAATAGATGTCACAGGCATTGGTGTAAGGAGTCTTGTCCTTAAACTCCTCAGGTCAAAACAAGAGCCAGGAGACACCTTCCGTGTTTCCCCATAAACCTTCCCAGCATGACACACAAAACTCTAAGGATCATCGAGCACGTGGAGCGGGAACTTGCTGCCAAGCATCTGGAGGACTGAAACCTACAGCTTGAGGGAAGAGAAACCAAACAAACAGATCTGAGCAAAATTGAACAACGTTGAGAGGAAGTTAGGATTAAAGACTTGGGAGCTGGGGACAAGTCAACTCACTTTGAACCATTCACCATTGACAAAAAAGGTTGTATGATCTGGATTTGTCAAATGATGGTCAAATAACATCAAATAGAATGACAACTATTTGTGACCTTACAGTACCAGTGACTAAACCCTCTAACACCTTCCACATTCACCAATTCAGTTCAGGCAGGAGAAAAAAACCAGCCGTCCATGACTCAACTGCTCACCTGGTCACCCGCAGTAATTGACTCCCTCATTCCTTCACTACCTCATTCTACCTTCTACCTCATATCCTCATTCCGTCCCTCACTGACTCGCTCATTAACCTCTCAATTCTCAATCAATCCATCACATTCCATCACCTACAGTCTGTACGCAATCACTCGAGCATTCACACACTCAATCATTCGCTCAACTCGCTTAGCCACTACTGACTGCTCCACTCAACCACTCAATAGTTGCTTCCGTTCGGCCTCCCTCTCCTTGTGGTTTTCCTATTTGGAAACTTCCGAATAGCGCATGCTCATCCAGGATATACTGGCACATATAATATCACATATGTATACATATATATAATTAGCGCAAGACCATACCCACAAGTGAAAACCCGTCAAAAGTTGTCAAAAACAAAGCGGTCTGGTCAAAGCAAATGGCCAGGTACCCTCTTTGAACTCCACTGTCTCCGTCATGTTCTGCCCAGGCGTGAACCGACAAGCACTAGCAAAATCGTTGATCACGATCTGCCACTTCTTCAAGGTTTTCTCCTTCCAAGGCAAAGGATGGCAAAGGTCCGGAACAGTTTGGATTGAATTGATGAATCATAATTTCCCCTGATTTTAAGATACCTTAAGGACATACCAGGGCATACCCCGTTTTCAGCGCCAACCCAGTTGGTCTAGGAGCCTAGGGTCCACCAATAAATCGAATTACCACATGAACTCCAATGTAGCATCAAGCATGATCAAGACATATCAAGACATAATATGGCCTATGGCAATGGGTCAACCAAAACATGTCAAAACCCTGATCCTGCAACCCTGGTGAACCCCCCAAAATAGCTGCTAAATGGATGCAAAATTGAAATTCATCATATATTCATCTCCCAAATGGAAAGATAGGGGCTACCCCCCAAAAACATGATTCAGCCGATTTCAGCCGATTTCGCTACGCCGCTACGCCTTGCCATGAAGCACCACCGCATCAGTGCTCAGGTTCCGATGGCACACCTTTTTCTCGTGCATGTACTCCATGGCTTTCAGGATCTGAAAGGTCGCAAAGGTGCAGGCCTCGACACCCCAAAAAAAGTTGTGGTGGTGGTGGCACGGTAGTGAAAAAATAAACCTGGCAGTGCCCACGGAATACCACGAAATTGATGGCTAAATTATTGGCGTTATTAGCTATGGCTATGTACTGAAAATGTTATGAAACGAAACAACAAAACTTAAATTATCTGAAATTGTGTGGTCCTTTGTGTCTGAAATGTTCACCAATACCCGACAGATTTCCCGACATATTTCAGCAGGATCTAGTCCGAGTAGCATGGACACAATCCTCCCATTCTCCAGCGTAGCGATCCTCTATCGCTTCCAACAGGGTGCCACCGGTGCATAGTTCAAAAGCCAAATAGTAGGATGCTTCATCTTCGCAAGCCTCCGCAGAGGAGCTGGTGCCATGAAATGCCATGAATCCTTTTTGCAATAAACATCAATTGATAAACCCTTTAAGGACATGTTGGCCCTTCCTTGCATAGTCATATTGTGTCATATTATATATATATATATATCATGAATGCTGGAGGCCTTCTCGATGATACACAATCCATACCAAAATGCGAAAAACGTTGATCCTTGTCAGATTCAAATTCTTGGCCCTGTGAACTATGAATGTCCATGATGTTCTGTCGCTATACTGCATCTTGCCACATCATTTCCCATCCAACCTCCTTCAGCTTTGCAATGTTGGGATGGCCAAGGCTCCTTTTGACTGCAACCGTAAGGAAGAAAGAAATTTACTCTCTATTATATAAGATTTCATCCATCGTCTTTCATCTTCTCTCATCGTTTTTCATCTGAGACAAGTTTCAGGTTTTACCATGTTTTACCCGAACCTACCAATCACATACTGTGGTGACAAGGCATCAAACCCCCCCTTGTCCCTGCGCGATATTGCAACATGACCCCGAGCTCCTGAGGATGGAGATATGCTTGTCCAACTGGGCCTTCAGTTTGGATCAAGACAAACCCCACATGAAACTCTGAAATTCCGCAACCATGAAGCATCATGAAGCTAAACTAAAGGATCAACTTTTCTTTGCCAAGCGTCTCGTGTTGTCGTTGATTTGGAAAGGGGCCTGAAGGAATTAAAACCCAAAGATGGGAAAACAAACTTCAAAGCGCATTGACATGCTGTCAATAGTACTTGAAGAAATGTCGATGTGTTGATACTCTTGGGGTGTGATTGGGCTGCTAGACTGAAAATATCTTAAAATGCACCGTGCGTGTTTTTGCCCTACACATCGGCAGGAACAGCTGAGAACAATATTTCTGACAGGCATGGAACATGCAACACCACTCCTACGTCCTACGTCATGCATCCTATGCCAAGCAATTCAACTTTCACCCCTCAAGATGAGCACAGGAAAAGGTGCCAAAAGGGATCCCAAGGAATCATGAATCCCAAAAGACAATTTTTCAATGTGCTGATCCAAGGTGTTTACCCTGAAAGGTGTTCAAGGGTTTTCCCACTTTTCGAGTTTCAATTTTTCCCAGATTTCCCAGATTTCCCCATCCAATTCAGCTGCCGGATCTTTCGCTCAGCCGGAGCGCTGAATCGCAGCATTTTGCTCCGTCAGACGGTGACGGGCCACGATGTAGCGACCAAAGTCCCCATACTTCGAGCCTTGGCGCTGAATGCGGTGATCCCTTGGTGGTTGCAACAAATCATGGCATAGGCATAGGCATAGTTCGGAGATGTTAGGACCGTTAGGACGTAGATGGAGTTGGTATATGTCTTATATAAATTGATGTAATCTTATATGTTGTTCTATATGTTCTTGATGCCAATATATGTTTTGTCGCCAAAAGTTGTCTCTCCAACATATGTGGATTGCGATGGGTTGTGATGGATTGGGTGAATTGTGTGGTAAACCCATATGTCCGTAACGAGTCTCTCCACAAAGTGCCAGGGCTGTCCAAGTCCCTGGCTGAGCGCCTCATCTGGCTCGTAGTAAGTGAGGAAGGTGCCCTCACCTGCGCGCAGAATGAGGAACTGGCCCCCAATGGCCACCTTGTAGTGAGCTGATTCTGAGCTGCTTGTGAGCTGCTTGTGAGCTGCTCGTCTCTGAGATTTGGGCCCAAATGATTGTCCACAAAGTACCCTGCATCCAGCGAGTGAATCTTATGTTGCTCGCTTGCGTCGTACTTGCCTGCGGCAGCGACGCAAAAGGCTGGGCAGGTGGTCTGCTGTACCACCACTGGGGTTCCGAATCATGATTTGTTCAGATCACTAAGATTGGAGTTGGCACAGCATTAGGAACCAGTGCCCCAGAAATTTCAGCCAGCAAGGCTGGGACTCAGTTGGACTACGTGCATAGCATTCCAACAGTCGTCCTAGTGTCCTAGCACTGGGCTTTGTTTGTGGCAACATGCGTGGAAACTTGGCGGGCAACCCAAAGCCTGCAGTACTGTTGGAGGCTCCACATCCCATGGTAGAATGGGCGGTCGGGCCACAAGGACTGCAGGGCAATGTGTGATTCCATGCTCAATCGTGCTCACCTACATCTCTGATCTCTCCATATTCTATCCTGGTCCAACTATCTGCTGGGCTACCCGAATGGTTGAGGGAGCTGAGTTGTTTTGCCATGTCTTGCAATCCAATACGGCATACTGGGGCCATATCAGGCAAGAGCGGATAGAATCTCCTTCCCTCCACTGGAGCATGACAGCTGCAAGAGGATACACTTCAGTCGCCAAATCCAAGCTGATGATGTGAAAGCACGCCAGAGCCACCCAGGAATTTGTAAGCAGAGAAGCAAAGTGATTAGTCTTCTGCTCTGGGTGTTCATCCAACATCATTCTCCAACATGCCAAACAGTTTGTAAAAACTAAATCTATGCACGACATCATTGTGATATCATTAGTAATTATATAAACATCACATGTATACATATCTATCTGTCTGTCTGTCTGTATGTATATGTATATATAATTTTAAACCGCTATAAACCAAATTAAACCAATGAACTGCGTAGCCCAGCCCCAACTATACCACTCGACCACGCACACTCCCGCGACGCTGCAGACGAGCTTCTTGGACACCGATGCTGCATGGAATGCCGCAATCCAGTCCCATCCGCCGTCCCCAAGGAGTGAACCAAGCTTCCCAGGATCCGGACAAATCCGGCCAGAGACCAATCACGTACAGAAAACAGCAAACAATCCGAAGATAGTAACCTCCAGTTGCTTTGGGTTGTGTTGTGCAAAATTCTCTGCTCAGGTAACTAACATGCTCTGAAACCTCCCAAGGCTTCAGGATGCGGGATCGCAACGACGTTGGGCCATCGCCAAGGTGGTCATCTCACATGATGTTTGCATTTGTATTCCTGATATTATATCATTGATATTGTTTATGCATATGTATATATACACCTGTATGTATGTATGTAGGTAGGTAGGTATGTATGTAGGTAGGTAGGTATGTAGGTAGGTATGTATGCATGCATGTATGCATGTATGCATGTATCTATGTATCTATGTATCTATCTATGCTATGCATATTAAGGATACCAACCAGAATTGAAGCTTGGCTGCGACAACGTGGTACAACATGGTACAACTATTGTCAGAGCCTGGATGACATGGGATGCCAATGGCGTTTTCAGCGTCTGCCAATGATTCGACATGCAATGGTTGGTCAGAGCCCGTGGCGAGAAGCTGCAGAAACACAATGGATCACACTGGATATGGAGGGCTGGTTCTGCCAGCCATGCAGTCATGGAATGTCATGGATTCCACAACCGTCTTGGCCTCAAAAACTCTGGGGCTGAGACAGTACCAGACACGGAGCACAGAAGCTCAAAGCTGCCTTGCAAAAATGGCACTTTGTGACTAAAGGGATGGTTCACTAAGTTCACTGTTGTTTCTTTCACTCGGACACCTTCATGTGGGTTGTCTGGGCATGGTATCAACGTGATGCCCATAGCTGGGCTCTTCACGATGAACAAATAGGAGAAAACCAGCGCTACAAAGGCCTGAGACATGCGAATGGCGATCACCCAGCACTAAGACACGACAAGATCAATAAGAAATTGTGCAGAAAGGAAAGCCAGCTTTGTTGCTATCCGAGCTATCCTTTTGCCCATGTATGCCCATGTCATTTTTACTAGCAACCATTCAAAATATTCAAAGCGAGCCGGGTGGACAAGGTGATACCCAGTGAAAGACACAAATGACACAAAGCAAGTGCAGTCTAGATTAGGACAGGAAAGTGCTGCAAATGAGAGCGAATGCGGCGATTATTGATTATATATAGTCTTTGCATGTCTTTACCACGCATAGTTCGCATACATCATGTCAATGATTCTATGTGTTTTTCTTTGTCAATGAATTTTCTGACCTTGTCCAAATGCAAGCTTGTGTCACACCTTGTGTCATGTGTCACTTTTTCAGCCACAAACGCACCACGTTAGCACTACAGCTGTAAGATTGTCCATTGATCCTGCAGCAAATGCGTGCTTTACCTCGGCTGGTGGTATGGCGGAGTGGATGAAACACCACACTGACGAAAGCCGGCGAAGAAGAAAATAAATTGAAATCATGGCAGAAGAATGGGATTCATGTTTGTGTTCTTTTACTGAACTAAAACAGTCAGTAATATTTAACATACAGCAATTCCTCCAGAAAGTCAGGTCACCAAGCAATGAGCAGCGAGCTCAACACCACACTGCCCAGCGCAAACCGCCCCAGCATCTTGGTCCTTCAGAACGGAGCAGGATCGCGACCATGTTATGGGTCAAGACATATCAAGCCCTGGTGCCATGCTGTTCACGAACTAGCTAGTTCTGGACGTTCATGCCATTTCATGACATATGGTTTCTCCGATTGTTTCTCCTTTCTTTCTTTCTTTCTTTTTTTCTTTCGATGCTTGGACCCTCTGCACCACTTTAGCTGGTGCGCCGTCGCACTGTGCATGGTAACAATCACGCAGTGGCTCAAATGAACAAATCGCCCATCGCAATGCCAGCATGAAAACACACCATGTTCATTCCTTTCCCCTCAACTGGCCACAAAATATCATAAATCCAGATAAATTGGCTGCAAATCTCCCCATGCTTGGCATCCTCCCATTTCCCCCTGCCCCTCCCCAGCCCCTTCCGCCTGCAAGACATCCCAGATGCCATCGCAGGCCAGGACCACGAAGCGATCCAGGGACGGGTCCAACTCCACGAGGCGCAGCTCGGGCTCGGCCGAAACCAGCTGCCCGGGCAGGACCTCCAGGTCATCAGCCAAGGGGGCACCATTGGGGTCACCACCAAATGTCATGTTTAGATATGTTTAGCATGTTCTTGGCATATTAAACCAGGCTTTTTAGAGAGTTGATACTGGGATATACTGGGCAAATCTCTGGCGAAGTTCCGTGATTTTGCCAATCCAAAGGATCTGTGGCGGTTGGCAATTCTGTAACACCTCGTGACAGTCGCTCAGAAAAATCGTTCTGTCATGTTCTGTCCAAACACGAACTGGCTGGTGAATCAGCAAGATGCACCAAGTGTGGATGATCCGAAACGTAACCATGGAAAATCACCATGTTTAATGGGAAATTCCACTATAAATGGCAATTTTCAATAGCTATGTTAGTTTACCTCGCGTCCCAGCCTTGGTGCATCCGTATTTGTAGGGCTCTTTCAGCAGCAGGTCCCCAAAGGCTCGTGACACCGCCAGACCCCAGCGGGCGATGGTCCGGCCTGTGGCATGGAAAAAAGCGATCAGCGATCAGCAGTTGTTTTGGTGGTTCACTGAGGATCTTCATCCAGATAATGACCAATTTTTTAAATATATATATATTATAATTATGTATAAATATATTTGTTTGGACTGCAAGGCACAAGGAAGCTGTTAGCTGCATAAATATATATGTATATATATATATATTACTCCAACCACCAACGACAAATTGTCGTTTCAGGTACCTAAATTGGACGTACCTACAATGTATAAGGTGTATAAGGCCTATGTGAGGGCTCTCGAAAAGGATTTGCCCCAAAATATGGTTTTTGATGATATGGTACCTCCACTTTAGGGTCCTGAAATTCCCATAGATAAATTTAAATCCAATTGATAGATTCTATAGACTAATTCATGATCTAGAATCTAGCAACCAACAGGAAAATATAAAACACACACAATCGACAACCATCTCCCGTCAAATGATATGTTTGCTTAGATTGACCATGATTTACAACCCAACAGTCACCACTTAGAGATACTGGGCAAACTCTCCGCTGCAATCAACTGCAGATTGGCTTGTAACTCACTACTGCTCTAGTCCTGAACCATCGTAGGATCCATAAAAATGCCCAAGAAACACAAGAAATTGGATGATTAACAACTACATCATCTCAATCCGACTTTAGAATTAGAAAACCCACGTTTCGATGGTGGGTGCAGTGGATCCTCCTCTTAAAATCTGGAGCTTCCGCGGCTTCGCCTCCAAAGACAACCTGCTCAGGGCAAATCACACGCCAAACGCCATGGAGGTCCACCGTTCCGCCCAAGGCTTCAATCCGCTGACGCTCGTCTTCTCGGTTGGGCTTGTGGTCCTGCCACGACATACCCTGCCTTCACTGGCTACTGGGGATATGATGTGCATGTACACCATACAATATGATAATGTGTGGTAAGCCTAAACAATGATGATACTAAGAAAATGATGATGATGATGATGATGAAGAAGGGGAAGAAAATCTTTGGGGGATAGCTTTTAATAATCTCCGAATGAACCGGTAAATGGTTTTTTTTGATGGCTATGGTTTTGGTAGTTTATGTTTGGAGACTTAAAACATGCCAATGGCTAGGCGGCTAGGCCCAGGCATGTTGGGCCATACTGGGTTTACTGGACGTAACCGGAAATTACATGAAATGATGGTGGGCACATGTGGCACATTTGTACTAGAAACTTCGACCCAGCAGGGTGACAGCAATCTCCTCAGATAGGCGAAAGACCTGAAGTCCCTGGGGTCCCGAAGAATCAGGGGCAGTTGCTCGGCACAGAATACCACGGGAATCCCCAACGTTGGCCACCAAGAGCCTGCACGTAGGACCGCGGAGCGTTGGATGATTTCCAACAGTTGTAGCAACCGCCCTGTTACATCTGGATACATCCGGTGTGTCAGTGAGTATCTACAAGTCGTTTACTGTCCTGATGTTCTTGACATTTTGATAAATGATGTTAAATGCTGTTCATATACCACCACGTTTTGCCTCGCACGCATTGCACAGCACACTCAACCACACACACACACCACACATCTTGAAGCGCGCATCACAGTATTGCTGGCGCACAATAATAGAACAGCCTGCATGGACAGCACATGCTCCATTTGTTATATTTGTTGAACATTACTGAGCTGCATGTAGCACAAATGATACCAAAGGATACAAAAGGATACAAAAGGATGAAAACATACAGTATCAAACAGTATCAAACAG